CCATGTGTAGACACAGCAGTGACAATCACAGCACAGCTCTGCACTCTGTCAGCAGTGTAGAGACAGAGCCTTGCATGCCCACAAGAAGTTAAAAGAAATCACACACAGCACACTCATTAGTCCACAGAAAAATATCTGGATGTCTCTAAAACGCTGAAATAAAGTGCACAAAAAATGGCAAGAGTTTGGTTTCAATGCTGCATTCATGCCTTTTCCTTAAACTCCCTAAATGTTATTGTAATTTCAGGATTTAAAACAAAATTTGGTTATGAAATTGTATAATGATTGCTATTTGATTGTGAATATACTACGAACACTGAATTCTACGATTTTAAAAAGGTGAATTTTATGATAGATATGTGTATTGTCTTTCAATAAAGATGTCTTTTCTTTCTTTTTCTTTTAAGAGGTAGGGTCTCACTGAACAAGCTGGCCCTGGGCTCAAGTGTTCCTTCTGCCTCAGCCTCCTGAGTAGCAGGGACTCTAGAACCATGCCTGGTTCTAGAGCTGCTATTATTTTTTAAATAAAGTTTAATAGCTAAAATACTGTTCTGTGTGAGCAGATGTATAGGAGTGTTGTATACCTTTTGCTTAATTTTGCTGCAAACATAAAATCACTTTAAAATATGAAGTCTATTTAAAAAAACAACAACGTATTCCTTGTTAATTTTGTATGGATTTTATATTAAAAATTCTAGAAGACAGTAGACTATAAAAGCTGTAGCATGACAACAATCTTTCCAACACCTTGTTTCTGGCAATGATATTTGATGAGATGACAGTTGAGAGTGGATTCTTAAAAAATGTGAAGTGAGTTGTGGGCATATTTGAAAGCTTCTAGAAGACTTTTATCCTGGGGCGACTTACAGATCTTGTATAGAGTGATCTCTGCTCCCATGTGCCGATGGGAAGTAACAGACTGAGGCTGGGAGACAGGGTATCCTCAGAGAGTCATTTCTTCTCTTTCTACTCTCTCTTAGTGACTGGGTTCCCACTGATGATTAATGGAGATTTCACCATGATGAACTATTTCATATAAAAAATAAGTTCTAAGTTAATTAAAAGCCACAGAGAATAAATTAATTACATTAATCAACAGCATAACAGAATGTATGAGATCTTTCTGGCGGCAGGCTATACTCTTTGAATACTAAGCCACAAAGAAAGGCAGAACTTGGAACAGATGTTGCATTTAGGTTGGCAATAGAGAAGCCAGAGGAACGTCCAAGATAAAAGTGAAATCATTTCATTGTAATGAGTTTGGTAAAAATAGACTTTTAAGTTTCTACTCTTTGAAAAGAAATAGAAAAATACATAAAATGCATTTTTATCCCCCAAAAATAAATGGGAACAAAAGATTTCTTGTGTTATGGTAGTCTATACATGGAAAGAGACACCACCCTCACAAGGGGAATCTCAGAAGCCAGAAGTTTAAATGCACTTCCTGAGGAAGTCCTTGGAAACTTGGGGGACCTTCTAGAAGGACACCTGCTGTTGCTGTTTGTTCTGTTTGTGTGTTTTGGGAAGTTCTTAGAGAGTGAGGCATGAATCACTATACTGCTGAGACTTCAAACTAAGGAAAGGCATAAGCAAATGTTAGGTTCTCTGGAACCAAGTCTTTTCTTCTACCTAAATTAAGTTACTGCTCAAAGAATGAAAAAGATGCCATTAGAATGCAAATATCCTGATGACCAATGGTTTGCAACTTGGAGCCAGAGGCTGGCTTGACACACACTGGCCACAAAACCCCAGTACTTCCTCCAAGTGCAATTGGCCACCCTTGACAGTACTGTCAGGCTCCAGCTTGGTCAGGAGGCTGGTTGCTGTGTAGTTCAGTCCTCCTGGTGGCTGAAGACTGGAGGGAGCTTCCTACTCAATCCTAAACCATCCCCGGCTGCACCACCAAAGCAAGTGCTAGCACCCAAGGTTAATATTTTGGTCTCTGTCTCTGTCTCTCTCTCTCTCTTTCTGTATTTTGCAGTACTAGGGTTTGAGTTCAGGTCGGCACACTTGCTAAGCAGGCACTCTACCACTTGAGACGTGGTCCCAATCCTGTTTTGCTTTTAGTTTTTTTTCAGATGGGGTCTCTTAGTTTTTCCCTGGGTCATCTGGACCATGATCCTGCTACCTATGCTTCCTGAATACTGGGACCACAGGTATTCACCACCACACCTCACTTGTTGGTTGAGATGGAGGTCTCAGGAACTTTTTGCCTGGGCTGGCCTTTGATCAAGAGCCTTCTGAGCTTTACCTTCCAAACAGCTGGGATTACAGGCATGAGTTACTGTGACCAGCCACACCCGGCCTACTTTGGTCTCATGGTGTCATTTTAAAATATATTATTTTTTCCTTTTTTTAATTTTTCATTTATTTATTTATTTTTGAGACAGGGTCTTGCTATGGTGCCTAGACTGGCCTCAAACTTGCATTCTCCAGCCCCCTTAGCTGGGATTACAGACAGGCAAAAAATACATTATTTTCCTACGTCATTTATCTTTCCCTTCAACTTAAAGAGCAAAATGAGCATGAAGAAGGAACAAACTTTCTTTTTGCATCCTCTGGACACTAAAGGGACATGGCCACAGCTCTAAGAAAAACAATACACACTTGCGATCTGGAGCACAGCACCTAGAATACAGTGGGTGATTAAAATCACAAAAAACAAAAAGCAACCTCACAAATACAGAACAGGGACCTCCTTGGGAAGTCTATGCCCCACAGGTACGAAGCGGGTCAGGGCAGACTTCCTACTTTCTCCCTATGTTTCCTCTCATTTCCATACTACACGCTGTCCCTACTCCATCCAGGTGACATGGGCAGAAAGACCTTGTGTGTTATGGATGGCTGGAATGAGATCACTTCGGGTCTGGGTAAGTGCTAGAGTCAATATCTAACGTCACAGACCTGTGATGACAAAACTCCCTCAGGAGAGGGTGTCCTCCTCTTTTCTTTTTGAGATTCGTGTTCACGGGTTGCACAATTTCTCATGTCTAAAAGACATGAGAGCTTGAGCTCTATGGCAGGAATACTACCATTATATATACATATATATGCACACATGCAATGCCAATATACTTATATTTAGATATCCTCTCACTCTTGTCCAAGCTGCCCTCAGTCTCCTAGCTCAAGGCTTCCTCCTGATTCAGCCTCCAGCAGCTGTGATTACAAGTGTGCACCACCATGTCTAGATTGCATTTATAATCTAGTTTATTTGGGATTCAAATAAGAACTATTTGAGAAAAGCACTCCTTTATGTCTCCAAATAACAAATTATAGCCAGGCATGGTGGCCCACACTTGTTACCCCAGCTATTCTCGAAGGAGAGGCAGAAGGATCTCAAGATTGAGGCCAGCCAGGACAAAGTTAATGAAAGCCTAACTCAAAAACAAAATACAAACAAAAGGGCTGGAGGAGTCACTCAAGAGGAAGGCTGCTTTTTGCCTAGCAAGTGCAGAGGCCCTTAGTTCAATCCCCAGTACTGCAAACAAAACAAAAAGCAAAACCCACAGGGAACTAAACTGTGCAGATGAATCACACAGCGAAGTAAATCTGCGATGTCTAATAACATAAGAAATGTGTAAACAAGGGAGCTATACAGTCAAGAAAAATAAAGTAGTTTTTTTTTAAAAAGTCACCCTATACAACAGGGAAATGAGGAAGGCTGATAGACTTTGTAACCTCCTGAGGGATATGGTGAAAGTTTCATTGTCTGAGTCACAGAAAATTACAGTGGGGCCTGGCTTTTACAAACACACTGTAAAGCCAGCCACTGGCAGGAGGGTGTGTCTGTGACAGAGGAGAGGGAAGGGAAGTTGACGTGAGTGGAGTGCAGGATATCTTCCCTGGCTCTCCTCATTTTGATTCTGATACCCATTCTCCTCAAGAGAAAAGTGTGTGACATCCAAATAAGTCATTTTCCACTCACTATTCCCCTCTCCCAGAAGACACAAAGTCTACTGTCAGTAAATTAAAACAAGGGACCTATATGTCACACATGGAAAATTAACTAGCCAGAAGGACCTGTTACACAAGTCTCTTTTTTGTCCCTGCCAAGAAAGGCGGTGTAAATTCAATCATTGATACTTCCCTTTAAGTCACTGGGAAGAATATTGTGTGTGTGTGTGGTGGGGGGGGGGGCTGAAATCAGAAATTAAAGTCACAGTGTTCTGATCACTACTTAAAAAAAAAACATGTGTTTTAGGGCCTATAATGCAATATACATGTAATTCTTACTTGTCTGGTATTAATGAAGAATGAAGTTAACTAAATGTTGTCACTATCAGTATCATACCCAGTATATTGCTGGGTATGGTGCTGCATGTCTGTAATCTTAGCACTTGGGAGGCTGAAGCAGAAGGATCCCAAGTTCAAGGCCAGCCTGGGTCACACAGTAAGACCCTGTTTTTTGTTGTTGTTGTTTTTAAAGAAAAAGCTTTAAAAAACTAAAGGGTTTTGAATGAAATTTTCTCTATATTAGAAGTCCCAGGGCTTGTACTATTTAGATACAGTCAAATGATTCCTTGGGAAGAAACTGAAATACACAGGACAGCCTGTCCTCCCAATAACCCTTTCTGCCTTCAAACACCACACCTATTTCAAAAGACCTTTCTGTCTCTTTGACACTCTCTCTTCTCATTAGTCACCTCTCACTTCTCATTAGGCTGGTGTGTCTCATCTTACAGTTGCTTTGCCTTTCTGATTTTATTGCTTCTTGTGCTTATGAGATGGGAAGTTAGATAATCAAGGATGATAAGATTATATGTAAAGAGAGAGTCACCAAGAGCTGAGGGAGACCAAAGGGCTCCCCCAGGCGCTGGGTGTCCAGATGACTGGCACCTCTTTTAGCTGCCTGGTATGGCTTTGCTTATGTGTGGGTGCTCTGCCTGTCCTGGGTAAATGAGGTTCTTGCACAAGTCAGCAATAGGTCCATCCAGGTATTTTTGTATGCTAAAAACAACCGGAAAAAGATAGCTCTGAGCAGCCGCTTGGTATCATACCTGAAGCTTCTGCACCCGCAGTCTCGCTGTGGACATTCTTTGCAAGCTTAATTTCTTCTGAGGCCATGATTTTTTATATGTTACTGAAATAAAAAGTACAGCATGCAAATCTATGAGCACGATACTTACGGGAATGAGGGGGAAGGGGCCCCGTCTCCACCTCAGTGAAAGCAAGCATGTCACCTGTCACCATGCTGACGTATAGAGTATGTAAGAAAGTCACGAGGGAGGAGGCAAAGCGATAAGTGTAATAACACTGAAATTCTTATTGCCCATCACAGCCTATAAAAAACTGGATTAGTCTCCATCAAATCACTGCCCCTTGTCCCCAGGGAGAAACCGACCACGTTCCTCACACCTGAAAAGGAAAGGGAGGACAGCTCAGGGCCACTTTCCTTCTATTCTTAGCAGAATCACTGTTTATACTGAATGAAACCACTTCACTCCCAAATTATGGGTAAGAAAAATATATCCTGTCAAATTCACAACCCCCTCACATCTCAAATATTTTGTTTCAAAATGATCTCGAATACCCAAATATTCGTATTTTCTTATTACAGTGTAACTTGTCATAGTACTTACGGGATAAATGAACAGGTTTACAAAAACCAAGATAATATGAAGTAACATTTGCCATTGCCCCTGGATTATTTTCCCAGTAACTCAAAATTCTTTGCAGATATTCATCCTTACACATGTGGTTAATAAGGAAAAAATGGCTATTGTTTGAGTGTCCCTGAAAGATTCATGTGTTCAAAGCTTGGCCTCCTCTGTGGTGGTAAAACCGATGGAACCTTTAACAGGTGGAACCCAGTAGGAAGTGACTGGAGCAACAGGATAACTGCTCTTGGGAAGGATTATAGTGGCTCTCTTGGGACCCTGCTAGACACAGTGAGTTGACTCCTCTCTGCCTTCTTGTCTCACCATGTGATCTCTCTCTCACACATACTTCAGTCATGATTCCTTCTGCCATGATATGACACAGCCAAGAAGGCACTGGCCAGAGCAGAGCAAAAGTCAGCCCCATGACATTGAACCTTCAAAATTGTGAGCTAAATAAACCTTTTTTCTTTATAAAGTACTTAGCTTCAAGAATTTTATTATAGTAACAGAAAACAGACTAATATACCCCACTACCACAAAAGAAAAAAGCAGACTAATTCGGTTCATTTTTATTCTCCTGTATTGCCACTTACAACATGTTTCTATTTTGAACTCTGTTTCTTTAGAAAATTAAATTCTGTGTGCTTTTCTAGCTCATGCTCATATAGGCTCCTCCCATCTTCCTACTTTGTATAAGTGATGACCTACATTGTCTTAATACCAGAATATCATATTTTCTAACCTCTCTTAAACCTTTTCTGGTACCAACTACATTTTTTAAGCCTTTGTGTCTCTGCACTTCCATAAACTTTAAGCTGCTGATCTTTGGGATTTCTGTAGTTTTCATCAGTTGTTTCTTAGATGGGGCTCTTGTGAATACCTCCCTACATATTTATGGCCAGGATTTGATTACCCTACCCTCTTATACCCTCAAACTCCCATATTCTGGAAGAATGCTTGACCATCACAGAATGCATTATTTCTTTATACTCAAAATAGTTTTTCTAGACCTGTTCTATTCTTTTAAAACACTTACATCATCCACAAAAAAATCTAAAACAGAAAACATCAAACTGAATACATTTTCAATATTTTTTAATCAGGTTTACAAGAAAGTCTCTTCCATTAAAATGTCCTAAACCCATTACCTCCATCCTAATGCTGCTGAACTTACTGCTATGACAACACGGCCTCAGCATGAATGTCAGCTCTCCATTTGAAATCGGTCAAATAAATCCCAGACGTTTAAACCAGGACAGAGGGCCAATTCACTTTCAAAGAACTGTATTTCCCATGTGTCTCAGTCCACACAGGCTGCTACAACAAAATGCCACAGACTGGGGCTGGGGGGCCTAGCTTATGTGGTAGAGCAACTGCCTAGCAAGTATAAGACCCTGAGTTCAAACCCCAGTACTGCAAGACCAAAGCAAAATAAAAAAACTTCAAACCATAGCTTATAAACAACAGAAACTTACTGCTCACAGATCTGGAAGGGAGGAGGTCTACGATCAAAGCTGCAGTAGACGTGGCCATGGATGAAGGCCTAGTTTCTGGTTCATTAGTGTCATCTTGTAGCTGTGTCTTCCCATGGTGGAAGGGACTGGCTAGGTCTCTGGGCATGTTTTATAATGATTAATCCCATAAGTGAGGGCTTTGCTCTCATGACCTAATCATCTCCCAAAGGTCTCACCACCTAATAGCATTCCTTTGGGGGTCAGGATCTTAACAGAGGAAACAAACATTCAGACCACAGCACTATGGTGTTAATCTTATTTTGCTCACCTTTGAAGCAAGCAATGGTATTAATGGGTCCATGCTGAATTTTGATTTGCTTTCTGTATCTCTCAGATGCCTCCTTAGCTGAATTATTCTGTGCCCGCTAACCTTACAAATCCTACCATCACCGAAGAATGGATGTTCTGAGGCTCCTCTCCTTTTTCCTTTGTCACCATGGTCATATTGCCGTGGATGGTACAATATTGCTTGTGCATTTCCTGTGCTTGACTTACAAATACCCTTTGTTGAATTAGTCTGAAGTTTGTTACAAATACCCTTTGTTGAATTGGTCTGAAGTTTGTTACACCTCTTTTTTGTAGAATCTATTGCCGCTGTACACTGCAAATGTGGCCTGTGATTTTGCCTTCTACAATCTAATCTTTGTCTTTTACCCGTCTATTCATGGAATAGAGGTGGAAAAAATACCATCACAATTTACTGCATTAGAGAACATTTCTAATAATTTTATGCCTATCCATACTGACTTTTATGGTATTTGTTTTGATATATTTGTCCACTTAGTCCAAGTTATCAACTACTTACTGAGTGCTCATGGAATCCACAATAACAAACTATCCAAATGGGACAGAAAAAGAGGCAGAAGTCACAGCTTATCCTTAACAAATTTACATTCTGAATAGAGGAAGGATAGAGGATGTTCCAGTATAGGAATATTAAAAAAAAAATCCCTAAACCCTTTTGTCCCAATTTTCTAAATAAAACATAAACCTATGTTTTATAGGTTTAAATAAACCTATGTTTATTTATTTTCTGTAAGCACCTTCGATTTAATGTGTACCAATTTGACTGCCTGAGAGTAAGTACCTGAGATTTTATGTAGGACACTGGGCATACGACAGGTAGCAACTGGCGATTTTGTTGAAGAAGGATTCTCCTAACTTAATATCAACAACTGAATCTCCAAATACTCATGTTCTTCTCTACTCATAAGGCACATTTTTAGGGGAAATGAGATGCTATAGTGAAATGAACGGTTTGGGATGAAGACAATCTCTAGATGTGCCCTTTGAAATTCCCAATAGTCTACCTCACATCATAATTTTAATCTCTCTTTTCTCATACACCCTTTCTTCTGGCAGTTACTTTAAAATGGATGAATCAGTGCTGTGATGTGCAGGAAGGGACCAACTCTGCCATCATCTTGCTGATGCTCAGCAAGCATCATGGCGATATGCCAAGTTGCGTGCCATACTGGGCTCCTGAGATCAATCCTACACTGTCCCTTTCCTGGAGGAACCCACAGCATTGTCTGTGTAGGTGAAGGGAGGCTGATAGTAATTAATCAGTCGTATGCTATGCCCCTTTAATGTCAGTTGGAATTTCAAAGATGATTCATTGCTATATTATGTAGGAAAAAGTCTTCTCATTCCACTTATATGACATTAAATATCTTCCTTCATTCTAGAACAATGTTTATAGGGTCTTTTCCCCCTGCTCATGACATATGAATAGGACACCCCGAAGTGGGAGGATCAGGGGAGCAACCTGTAGGTGTCAAGCACTACCCACGTAAGACCCTGGGTTGGTCCCAGGTGGGGAGATCCTGTCAAACCTTCCTAAACCCCATCCTCATCTAAGTGATCATCAGAATTATCCACTGGGGCTCCAGGTCTAGCAAAATGCCAATGTTTATCACAAATAAATGAAACTAAAATGATAGCGCTAGTCCTTTAAGAAATATGTAAGAATATAAGACAAAATTCTTCACATAAAACTCAAGTTCTAATTTAAATGCTTCCTTTGATGGTATTTTTCTGAAAGGAATGGACTTTCTGAGGCTTTTTAAAAACATGCCCAGTAATGTTGTAATGTTTTCTTTTCCTTTTCTGGGTACCTCCTAGACCTCCAAATTTCAGTTCAGAATTGGAGTTATTTATTTTGAAGAGCTTAATGCTAATTCTGGGTACATGCAGATAAAAGATTTTTGCTCTGATAGTGAATGGTAGAGGAGAACCATGTTCCTCCTAATATTAGCTTTCTGTGTTTGGTGACAGTTTTGGTCTCCTTGGGAGCAGAAACTATCTTACTGTCTGTTCTTTGAGAGTCCAGAGCAGTGCCTTTTCCGTGGGAGGCATTCCGCCTGTTTGTTCAAATGGTGTAAGGATGGTGGGAGTGAAATCTTGGCTGTACTTGAGCCAATTTAGAAAAGAAAAAATATTTTATTTATTTATTTTAATAAAGAAAATGTTACCCACCCACCCACCCCCCGCCCCGGGCCCTCAGCTTTGGCCCCTGGAAGAACTGAGGCTATCATTTTCTGGAAGAGATGTCTCCACCGTCCCTGGGCTTAAGCCAGAACTGCTGACAAAGCAAGGAGTTATTTTCTAAAGTAATACTCAGGAAAGGAAGGGTAAAATTTAGAGGATCAAAGTGTCCCCTCCCAAGAAGCAAGTTCACACAGTGTGACCTCTGGAGAGTAGGGCTTCCCCTGTTCCTCCGGCAAACAGCTTCTCCTGTTTCAGGAGGGCTCAGGTGGCACCTCTGGAAAGCTTTTGGCTCCCTGGGGCAGTTGTTTACTTTGCCCTCTGTACTCCCACCCTAAGCACTCTGTGCAAAACTATCTCAAATATCACTAATCACATTCCATCCGGTTATCTGCTTACATATCTGAGCTCAATTCGGTGACATTCAGTTCATACGGCAATGCCCTGAGTATGTGCGAGCACCATGCTGGACCCAAAGG